GGCGGAACCGCCGCAGCCGGCGCCGCCGCCGCCTCCGCGGCGGTGGCCCCGGCCGCGGCCGCCGCCGCCATCCCCGCGATCGCGCCGGCGGCGCCCGCTTGCCCAGCCTCCTTGGCCACCCCCAGCGGCGTCAGCCGCCGCGCGTCCCGCTGGTCCAAGATCGTCGGAGCGTTGGCGGCGACCATGGCCCTGAGCGCCGCCTCGAGCCCGTAGTGCGCCGCCACGTGCGCTGGGTAGCCGCCGGTCGCGTCGTCGCGCACCCAGCAGGCCTTGGGGTGCGAGCTTATGACGGACAGCGCGGCGGGCTCGTCGCCGGCGACGAGCGCTGCGACGAGGCGCTGCGCCGCGCTCCTGCGCGATGTGAGGGGCGGTCGTGGTTTAGTACTGCGCCCCGCAAATCCCCGGATCCTCCAGGTCACAAGAGAGATCGGCCAGTAAGGGTGAGATGCGGGATGCAACCGCGGCTGCTAGCAACTGCTGCACTCCGCCAGCGACGACACGGGCATGAGGATGGCGCGCTGGCCCGAGCCGCCAGAGGGGCGCCATGCACACGCGCACGTGGGGCCACAGGGACCGCAAGGGGGGCGGTTGCGGGCGCTGCGCGCGTGGCAGTGAGGCGTCCCGCCCACCTCTTTTCAACGACGGCGGCGACGTCTGCCGGCAGCTGGGCGCCGCTGGTCACAAGCGTCATCACCTCCCCTTGTGGGCGGGAGACGTGCGGCACGGTCATGGACCGGGGGCGGGCCATTGGTGGCAGTGGTGGTGAGCCGCGCCCCTGCGCTGCTTGGATGCATGTCGCACACAGCACGCCTGGTGCCAGACGGCAGGCGCACGTCTCCCGCTCCCCCACCCAATTCAGTATGTTGCGCTTGGTGGGCAGGCAGCTTGGTGAAGAGGCAGCTTGGCAGGCGCCGCAGGGTGCCGAAGGTACCGAAACTGCTCCTCCCAGATACCCTGCGGCCTGCTTGCACCTTCAACGACCTCACCTTGTGAATAGTTGAACAACCCCTCCTGCTGGCACCACGACCATAGCTGCTTAACACGCTGACGCTGCTGCTGCGGCGCCCCGCGCTCGCCGCCGCCGCGTGACCCGCGAACGCCGCGCTCGCCGCCGCCGCCGCCGGCGCGGCCGCCTGCCGCCGCCGGCGACGCTGCCACGTCACCATGCGTGCGCTGCCACGCGGCGGGCGAATAGATGCGCAGGTGACGGTCGTCACCGACGCCCTGTGGGAGTCGGTTGCGAGGTGCAGCGGCGCATGCGACCATTGGTTCACTCGTGCCGCGTTTCAAGCGCCGCGCAACAACCCGAGTGAAAACCCGGACTGTCAGCGGTGCGGAAGACGGCTTCAGAAGGTATCAGGGACCCAAGCTCCATGGGGCTGCGCGCATACACCAAGCTGCTGCTTCAAAGCTCCAACAAATGCTTGACCGATGCCTCACCGCGCTCTCGGAATGCAACCCTATGCGCTCTGCAGCCTTGTGCCACAGGGCGCGCTGCTGCTTGCTGCAGGACGGCGGCAGCGCCAGCAGAGCCAGGGGGTCGCCGGCCGCATCCGCTGCGCCCGTTGCCTGTGCCGCGCCTGCTGCGCCAGCGGCGAACCACTCCAGCAGCTCGCGTATCTGCCCGGAATCCGGGGAGGCTGGGGAGCGCAGCAGCGCGCTCGCGGCGGCGGGCTCCTGGGAGGGCGGGTTGAGCGGCGGAGTTGAGCATGATGAGATTGAGGGCGACGAGTGGCACGCAAACGGGCAAGGGGGCCGCTGGCGACCGGCGCAGCAGCAAGATACAAAGACGAAGCAAACCGCAGAGGCGCGTGCGCCGCCGCCGTCCAGGCCGGCGATAAGGCACACGTGCCCGTGCGCGTTTCCTCGGCGTGCCTGCGGGTTGCTGCCGGGCGGCAGCCGCTCCACAGGGTCTGGACACGAGGGCAGCGCAGCCTCCAGAGCGCCACGAGGGGTGAAATCCACACGTATCTGATCGGCGCGTTCGCAGTTTGTGGGGATGGTCCCGTGCATGCGAAGGGGGACAGGGAGCGCAGCCAGTCAATGTACGATGAGCTAGGCTTGACCGTACCTAGGTCGCTGTCTAAAAAGGGAGCCGCAATAGAAGTTCAAGCAATTTTCAACAGTTGCCTGCCGAACTAGCAGCAGCAGCAGCAGCAGCAGCAGCAGCAGCAGCAGCAGCAGCAGCAGCAGCAGCAGCAGCAGCAACAGCAGCAGCTTGGGGTAACAGCGCTGCTGCGCGTCCACACGCGAGTCTGTGCGTTTGTTTGCGCACGGGCCGGATGGCGGCGCCAGGTGCGTGTGGATGCACCTGACGCCAAACCGCTGTGCTGGCGTACGCAGCCGCGCGCAGCAGCGCCGCAGCGCGGACCGCTGCTGCAGTCCCCGGCTTTGTGGTGTCGGCGGCCCGACATTAGGGCTTGCCGACCTCTGCAGCCCGAGGACGCGGCGCGGTGGCGACAAACGCACCTCGCAATGGAGTGCGCCGCTGCTGATATCGTCGAGGGTGCGCGGCCGGCCGCCTGGCCCGCGTACTGATCGTGCCACCGGTGGCACGTACTGCTGCATCGGCTCGGCTGTTCCTTCAATTGAACTGCCGAGGCTTTATGCGGCCAGCCCACCGCAAGTCTGTGCGAACCAGCAGGCGAGGCTGCGTTGCGAGGCCTACACGCAACAAAACACAGCCGACAAAACAACAAAATGATCGCAGCCAACGAATGAAGCCCACATCAGGGGCCCGCGGTAGATCACCTAAGGTGATCTTGGCGTCGGCTGCACAGCTGTCGACTACTCTGTCAATGCCTGATCATCTTGTTCATTTCATATAGATCCACCACAGAGTATATCCAGATCGCCAAGCTCACCTTCGCTCCAGAGCCTGCGTGCACAAGCCTCCAGGTTTAGATCCCCACTGTCTAGGGCCCAGGAAACGGCTTGTGGACCCCGTACAGCTAGCCCCGGAGACAGTGCCGCGTCGGCTGAGGCGGCACTTGGGCGCAGCGCGCACCGGCACCCCCCTACCCCGCCAGCGGGAGGCCCCCGCGCCCGCCGCCGCAGCTCCCCCGCCGGCGCCCGTCGTATCCCGCGGGGCGGGGCCGCAGCAGCAGCAGCGCCGGGGGCGCCATGTTCGGCGCGCAGGCGCAGCAGGGCGGGCACAACCCAAACAAGGACGTGCAGGTGGCGACGCCGCTGGGCGACAGCGTATCCAGCCTCGCATTCAGCCCGCGCGCCAACCTGCTGGTGGCCACCTGCTGGGATAACAACGTCTACTGCTGGGATATACAGGTCGGGCGGCCCCCATGCGCATGCGCGTGCACACACGGCATCGCCGCGCGCCTGCAGCCGAGCACGGGCCCCTAGCAGAGCGATGCAGCCGCCCGTTGCTGTGTGCCTCGCCCCCCTTTGCCGACCCCGCGCCTCGCCCCCCGCCTGCGCCGCCCCTTGCAGCCCAATGGCACCGCCAACCCCAAGGCGTCCACCACGCACACGCAGCCGGTGCTGTGCAGCGCTTGGAATGCAGACGGCACCGGGGGTGCGCGCCCGCCACATGGGGTGTTCTGTGCAGCATCCACCCTGCGCAACCCCGCATGGCCGCACGTCTTGCCACGCGCATAGCCCGGCAGCACAAGCAGGCGTCCCGTCGCAAGCACCCCTTCGGCCCTTTCTGCCCCAGGCTGGCAGCATCCGGCGCCCCTTGCATGGCCCCCAGCAAAAAAACGCGCGTCCTCTTCACACCAGCGGCACCGCGAGCGGTACTGGTCCCTGCGCCCCCGGCCCGACAGACGCTTCCACACACGGAAACGCGTGCCGTGCCCCTGCGTGCGTTGCCCCTCGTCAACGACAGTGTTCACTGGCGGGTGCGACAAGATGGTGAAGCTCTGGAACCTGGCAACAAACCAGAGCCAGCAGGTGGGGTGCTGGCCCTGCTGCCGCATGGGCCAGCGGCCGCATGGGCTAGCGGCCGTATGGGCAAGCAGCCGAATGGGCCAGCGGGCGCATGGGCTGGTGGCTGCATGCGTCTGCTACCGCCGCATCTTGCGAGCCTGAAAGCCTGCATGCAAGTGTGGTGGTGTGCCCGCGCCTTGCCGCATGCCTTGCACGAACATTTGGAGCACCTGCTCGCTGTCGCCTTCAGCCGCCCCCTCAAGCGCTCACCTTGGCCCAAGACGCTGCCTCTTCGCACAGCCAGCGCAGCCCGTACCCCTGCGCCTGCCCGTACCAGCTGCTGCCGCTGGCTCAGCGCCCCAGATGACCCCTCCCCTCATCGCAGGTGGCCGCGCATGACGCGCCCGTGCGGCACTGCGCGTTCATCCCCGAGCTCAACATGCTGGTCACGGGCGGCTGGGACAAGACGCTGCGGTGCGGGGGGAGAGGAATGTGGTGGCGCGCACGTTGGCGTGCGTGTGCGGGTGTGAATGTGTATGTATGTGTGTGACAAACACACTGTGAGAAAGGAACGAGCGAGCAATCAAAGACCGGGAGGGCAAGGCTGTATTAGTTGGGTATGGTACGCCCATGACCTGGGGCTGGGCTCGGTTGCATTTGTCTGGCGAAGCGGCTCACGGCGAATTGGTGGGCATCATGCTGCCCCCTCTCACATGCACATGCACACACACATACACACACGCACACACACGCACTCCCGCATACGTGCGCACACACACACACACACACACACACACACACACATGCGCGCGCGCGCACGCGCGCCCCGCAGCTACTGGGACCTGCGCCAGCCGCAGCCCGCATTCACCTACACGCTGAGCGAGCGGCTGTACGCGCTGGACGTGAAGCACCCCCTGCTGGTGGCCGCCACAGCAGACAGGCAGCTGTTCGTTTTCAACCTGCAGGTGGGGGCAATGGGGGCTGTGAGGTTTGCCGGCGCTGTGCTGCCAGGGAGAGGGTCGGGGGGTTGGAGAGCACGGGGTGAGGGCGAGGTATGCAGCAAAGCGGGGCGGGGAGCGCTTGCAGGGGGACGGTATGCGGCGAGGGCCCTCCTGGCCCCTGGCGTGCGCACGTGAGGGCGGGCTGTGGGACCATCACGGCGGGCTGTGGGACCATCACGGCGGGTCATTGCAGCCCTCTTTCAAGCTTCACGCCTCTGCATGGCTGGCGCGCCCCCTCCTGTGCGCCGCAGAACCCGCAGCAGCCATACAAGACGGTGGCCAGCCCACTCAAGTGGCAGACGCGCGTGGTGGGTGGCCGCGCGGCTAGACAGGCCTGTTCTGTGGTGGGACGCGTAGATCCCGCTGGTGCAGCGCATCTTCACCCTGCTTTCCGCACCCCCGCCTCTCCAC